ATCCATCTAAAATGCAGACATGTGCTTTTCATCTTAAGAACAGACAAGCATCTCGAGTTCAGAGGATTACCTAGGAAGGAATCCCATTGGAACATTGCAGCACACTCAAATACTTGTGAGTTTCCCTGGACCGTGCTCTGTCTTACAAGAAGCACGGCTTGACTATTAAGCAAAAAGAGGGCACTAGAAATAATATCACACCAAAACTGACTGGCACAACCTGAAGATCACAACCAGACACAGTGATGATATCTGCCCTTGCACTTTGCTACTCTGCTGCTGAATATGTAATCCCAGTGTGGAACACATGTCACCACGTTAAAACAGTGGATGTCGCTCTTCATGAGACATGCCACATTATCACAGAATGTCTGCACCCCACACCACTGGAGAAATTATACTGTTTAGCCGGTATTGCACAACCTGACATCTGTCGGGAAGTAGCAGCCTGTAATGAAAGGACCAAGGCATTGACATCACCGGCCCATGCCCTGTTCGGATATCAGCCAGCAGGCCAACACCTTAAATCAAGAAATAGCTTTCTAAGATCTACAGAGATCTCGCAGAAACACCTCAACAAGCAAGAGTCCAAAAGTGGCAGGCAAAAACCCAGAACCTCAATCCATGGCTGATACTGAATGAGAGACTCCCTCCTGAACACACAGAAGACTGGGTGATTTGGAAGGTGATGAACAGACTGAGCTCTGGCACCACGAGATGCAGAGCCAACCTTAAGAAATAAGGTTACAAAGTGGAGTATGGAGAAGAGTAAACCACAGACCACTTACTACAATGCAACCTGAAACCTGCCACATCCACAATGGAGGACCTTCTTATAGCAACACCAGAGGCACTCCAAGTGGCCAGCTACTGGTCAAAGGACAATTAGTATAATGCCAAGTTTTAACTTTGTTTGTGTTTTTAAATACACTACAACTGTACTCTCAATTTGCTTCTGACACGATAAATAAATAAATAGTCGAAATCACAGAATCATAGAATTTCAGCTTGACAGCATTTAACAACCCCACGAATTTCATAAGGTATTCTTAGGCAAGAGCTGGTTTTGTCAGTTCCTTCCTCTAAAATGTAGCCCACGTCACATAATATTCACTGGCTTGCAAATGTACATACCTTTATGGAATTATTGCACAGAACCCCATAGCATCAGCCAGTACGGCCACTGGGAATTTCAATACCCCAAAATTAACTTTTCCAATAGCTGTTCCTGTATCAATTTGTCTACAGACATTCAATTATGCTCTTTTACATGGCATTCATTCACACAGAGGGAGCTAAGCCTTAGCACCTGACCAAAGTCCTTAGGCCCTGATTAGACATTAGCTTCTCTCACACACACCATTTAAGTATAGGCTGGGCAACGCCTTACCCAGAATCCCAAAATACTCCCAAATCCAACACTGTCCACATAAGTTCCTGAGATAGTTGACACCTTTTGTTTTCTGATTATTCAATGCATGCAAACTTTTTTCAGGCACAAAATATCGTGCATAAAAATTACCTTCAAACTACATGTATAAGATGTAAATGAAACATAAAATAATTTTGTATTTAGACTTGGATCTCATCTCCAAGATATCTCACTGTATATATGCAATTATTCCAAAACACACACACACACACCCCCAAAAATCCCATAAAACAGAGCATGTCTAGTCGAAAGCATTTCAGGTAAGCAATACTCAAGCTCTGCTGCTGCATTATTCCTGAACTGAAGGGGGGGAAACCCTATATTTAACTCTGTCCTTCCACATATAAAAATAAACCAGAGGTTATTATGGTGCCTGGTAGAGAAATCAAATATCTCCTTCACTCCCACGCTGCTCTGTATTGCTGAATCTGATGCCTGGCAGGCAAGGGCAAACTTCAGCTCTCTAAGTGTTATGGACTTCAACTCCCACAATTCCTAACAGCCGGTAGGGCTGAAGTTTGCCCATGCCTGCTCAAGAAGCTTTGGGGTGCAGATCTAAAGAAGCCCTGGGGTCCAGCCCTTCCTTAAGAAGTCCTCAAAGAAGCTTTGAGGTTCCTCTCCTCCTTAGGAAAGCTACAAGGGCCAGCTTATCTCCAAAGGCCTCCCAAAAAGAAGCTAGCTCAATGAAGAAGCTGTAAGATCCAGTTCATTCCTCAAGAAGCTTGAAGCTCTGGGATCCAGCTTATCCTTGAGAAAGCTTTGGGGTCTAGATTATTACCGAAGCGATGAGGTTCCTCATCTCCCCATGAAAGCTTTAGGGTCCAGTTTATTACTTCAGCTTTGAGGTTCCTCTCCTCTCTAAGGAAGCTTTGAAGTCCAGTTTACTTCAGCTTTGATGTTCCTCTCTTCCCTTTGGATGCTTTGGGTCCAGTTTGTTATTTAAGCTTTGAGATTCCTCTCCTCCCTAAGGAAGCTTTGAGGTCCAGTTTATTACTTGAGTTCTAAGGTTTCTCTCCTAAGAAAGTTTTGCGGCCTAGTTTATTACGTAAGCTTTGACCTTCCTCTTATCCCAAAGGAAGCTTTGAGGTCCAGTTTATTATTTAAGCTTTAAGGTTCTTCTCTCTAAGGAAGCTTTGAGGTCCTGTTTATTACTTCAGCTCTAAGGTTCCTCTCCTAAGGAAGCTTTGGGATCTAGCTTATTACTTAAGCTATGAGGTTCCTCTCATCCCTAAGGAAGCTTTGGGATCCAGTTTATTTCTTACGCTATGAGGTTCCTCTCCTAAGAAAGCTTTGGGATCTAGCTTATTACTTAAGCTGTGAGGTTCCTCTTCTCCCTAAGGAGGCTTTGAGGTCCGGTTTATTACTTAAGCTCTAAAGTTTCTCTCCCAAGAAACCTTTGCGCTCTAGTTTATTACGTAAGCTTTGAGGTTCCTCTCCTCCCTATGGAAGCTTTGGGGTCCAGTTTCTTACTTCAGCTTTGAGGTTCTTCTCCGTAAGGAAGCTTTGTGATCTAGTTTATTAGTTAAACTCTAAAGTTCCTCTCCAAATAAAGCTTTGGGGTCTCATTTATTACTTAAGCTATGAGATTCCTCTCCTCCTTAAGGGAGCTTTGGTGTCCAGTCTGTTACTTAAGCTGTGAGGTCCCTCTCCTCTCTGTGGAAGCTTTGAGGTCCGGTTTATTACTCCAGCTCTAAGGTGCCTCTCCTATTAGTTAAGCTCTAAGGTTCCTCTCCAAAGAAAGCTTTGGGGTCTCGTTTATTACTTAAGCTATGAGGTTCTTCTCTCTAAGGATGCTTTGGGGTCCAGTTTAATGCTTAAGCTTTGACGTTCTTCTTATCCCAAAGGAAGCTTTGAGGTCCAGTTTACTATTTAAGCTTTGAGGTTCTTTTCTCTAAGGAAGCTTTGGGGTCCAATTTAGTACTTAAGCTATGAGGTTCCTCTCCTCCTTAAGGGAGCTTTGGTGTCCAGTCTGTTACTTAAGCTTTGAGGTTCTTCTCCCTAAGAAAGCATTGAGGTCCAGTTTATTACTTCAGCTCTAAGGTTCCTCTCCTAAGGAAGCTTTGGGATCTAGCTTATTACTTAAGCTATGAGGTTCCTCTCATCCCTAAGGAAGCTTTGGGATCCAGTATATTTCTTACTCTATGAAGTTCCTCTCCTAAGAAAGCTTTGGGATCTAGTTTATTACTTAACTCTAAGGTTTCTCTCCTAAGAAAGCTTTGTGATCTAGTTTATTATGTAAACTTTGAGGTTCCTCTCCTCAAGGAAGCGTTGAGGTCCAGCTTTTTGTTTAAGCTTTGAGCATCCTCTCCTAAGAAAGCTTTGGGGTCTAGTTTATTACTTAAGCATTGAGGTTCCTCTTCTCCCCTTGACAGCTTTGAGGTCCAGTTTATTACTTCAACTCTAGGGTTCCTCTACTAAAGCTATGAGGTTCCTATCATCCCTAAGGAAGCTTTGAGATCCAGTTTATTTCTTATACTATGAGGTTCCTCTCCTAAAAAAAAACTTTGGGATCTAGCTTATTACTTAAGCTGTGAGGTTCCTCTTCTCCCTGAGGAGGCTTTGAGGTCCAGTTTATTACTTAAGCTCTAAAGTTCCTCTCCTAAGAAAGCTTTGGGATCTAGTTTATTACATAAGCGTTGAGGTTCCTCTCCTCAAGGAAGCGTTGAGGTCCAGTTTGTTGTTTAAGCTTTGAGCATCCTCTCCTTAGAAAGCTTTGGGGTCTAGCTTATTACTTAAACTATGAGGTTCCTCTCATCCCTAAGAAAGCTTTGGGATCCAGTTTATTTCTTACGCTCTAAGGTTCCTCTTCAAAGAAAGATTTGGGGTCTCGTTTATTACTTAAGCATTGAGGTTCTCTTCCCTTAGGAAGCTTTGGGGTCTTGTTTATTACTTAAGCTATGAGGTTCTCCTCCCTTAGGAAGCTTTGGGGTCTTCTTTATTACTTAAGCTATGAGGTTCTCCTCCCTAAAGAAGCTTTGGGGTCCAGTTTAGTACTTCAACTATGAGTTTCTCCTCCCTAAGGAAGCTTTGGGGTCCAGTTTAGTAGTTCAGCTATGAGTTTCTCCTCCCTAAGGAAGCTTTGGGGTCTTGTTTATTACTTAACCTATGAGGTTCTTCTCCCTAAGGAAGCTTTGGGGTCCAGTTTAGTACATAAGCTATGAGTTTCTCCTCCCTAAGGAAGCTGTGGGGTCTTGTTTATTACTTAAGCTCTGAGGTTCCTCTCCAAAGAAAGCTTTGGGGTCCAGTTTAGTACTTCAACTATGAGGTTCTCCTCCCTAAGGAAGCTTTGGGGTCTTGTTTATTACTTAAGCTATGAGGTTCTCCTCCCTAAGGAAGCTTTGAGGTCCAGTTTAGTAGTTCAGCTATGAGGCTTAGGTCCCTCTCCTCCCTATGGAAGATTGAGGGCTGAAGAAGACCTCTAAAGACCCAGCTCTTCCCTGAAGAGGCTTTGGGCCTGTCCTCTCCTCTGGAGAAGGCCTGCTGCCCATCCCTCCCTCTATAAGAGGGAATCCTTGAAGGCCTCCCTTCCCTTCCCTTCCTTCCCTCCCCTCGCCTCCCTTGGCCGCACCGTTAGCGATGAGTTTGGCGGAGAGCTGCTTGACGAGCTCGGGGATCTTCTCCCACTGGCACTCGGAGCGGCACCGCTCGATCTCGCTCTCCAGCCGCGACCCGCCTTTCTTGGTAGCCATGGCCGGGGACCAGGCCCCGCAGGAGCCGAAGAGAAGGCAAGCAAGGAAGGAGGGAAGGCGCCAACAGCAACAGCAAGAGCAACCACGGCGGCGGCGGCGGCCCCGGAACGGGAACCAAGCGGAGGAGGAGGAGGAGGAGGAGGAGGCGAACCCGACCTTCGCTGCAGCGCCACCTGTCGGCGGACTGAAGAACGGCAGCGAGGAGAAGGAATAGAGGGAGGGAAAGAGAGGAATGTTTTGGGATCCTGGGAGCTGTAGTTCGCACTCTTTGGCATTTGCAGGCATGGGCAAACTTGGGCCCTCCGGGTGTTTTGGACTTCAACTCCCACAATTCCTAACAGCCGGTAGGCTGTTAGGAATTGTGGGAGTTGAAGTCCAAAACACCCGGAGGGCCCAAGTTTGCCCATGCCTGCATTAGTTATTTAGGGCAGCTTACAGCGGCAACAATTCGGTGCCCCACATAAACAGTTAAATAACAATTACATAATAAGTAAAACATTAAAATTAGATTTTAAACCATTTTAAATAGAACACATTGAATTAGTTGGCGTGTCAAGTCCGCGTTCTACGATCAACAACTTAATTAATCCGAAGCCTTTCCATAGCATTGTTGTCATTTCTATTGTCAGCCTGGTCCCATACTTTTTCAACTTTTTCCTTAAGGAAAGGAGGGAAGCCGTTGACCCAATTTCACTGGGGAGCAAATTCCACAGGCGGGGGGACACCGCTGAGAAGGCCCTGTCCCTCGTCCCCACCAAGCGCATTTGCGACGAAGGAGGGATCGTGAGCAGGGTCTCCCCAGAAGATCGTACGTTTCAAGGTGGGACGTAGGGAGAGATATGTTCGGACAAGTAAGCTTGGCCAGAACCGTAATCCTGTACCCACTACTCTGGCCGGCCCAGTTTTAATAATTGTTTCGATGTATTGTTTACTCTGCTTAACTGTTTTTAATTTGCTTTATGTATTGAATTGTTGTATTGTGTTCTGAGGCCTCGGCCTATGTAAGCCGCATCGAGTCCCTCGGGAGATGCTAGCGGGGTACAAATAAAGTTATAATAATAAAAGTTATAATAATAATAGGGCTTTATAGGTCAAGACCAGCACTTTGAATAGGAGCCCCCGGTGGTGCAGTGGGTTAAAGCCCTGTGCCAGCAGGATTTAAGACCGACAGGTCGCAGGTTCGAATCTGGGGAGAGGCGGATGAGCTCCCCCTATCAGTTCCAGCTCCTCATGGGGGGACATGAGAGAAGCCTCCCACAAGGATGATAAAAATATCAAATCATCCTGGCGTCCCCTGGGCAACATCCTTGCAGACGGCCAATTCTCTCACAACAGGAGCAACTCCTGACACGACCCAAAAAAAAAGAAAAAAGAAAGAAGCACTTTGAATTGTGGGTTGTTGTAGGTTTTTTCGGGCTATATGGCCATGGTCTAGAGGCATTCTCTCCTGATGTTTCGCCTGCATCTATGGCAAGCATCCTCAGAGGTAGTGAGGTCTGTTGGAACTAGGAAAAAGGGTTTATATATCTGTGGAATGACCAGGATGAGACAAAGGACTCTTGTCTGCTGGAGCTAGGTGTGAATGTTTCAGCTGACCACCTTGATTAGCATATAATGGCCTGACAGTGCCTAGAGCAATCTTTTGTTGAGAGGTGATTAGATATCCTTGTTTGTTCCCTCTCTGTTGTTGTGCTGTTGTAATTTTAGAGTTTTTTAATACTGGTAGCCAGATTTTATTCATTTTCATGGCTTCCTCCTTTCTATTGAAATTGTCCACATGCTTGTGTATTTCAATGGCTTCTCTGTGTAGTCTGACATGGTGGTTGTGAGAGTGGTCCAGCATTTCTGTGTTCTCAAATAATTGTGTTCGGAACTGGACAGGCAGCCAGTGGAGCTGACATAACGGGGGGTGGTATGCTCCCTGTACGTTGCTCCAGTAAGTAATCTGACTGCCGCCCATTGGACTAGTTGAAGTTTCCGAATAGTCTTCAAAGGCAGCCCCATGTAGAGCGCTTTGCAGCAATCTATTTGGGATGCAACGAGAGCATGGACCACCGTCGCCAGATCAGACTTCCCAAGGTACGGGCGCAGCTGGCGCACAAGTTTTAATTGTGCAAAAGCTATCCCGGCCACCGCTGAGACCTGGGGTTCCAGGCTCAGCAATGAGTCCAGGATCACTCCCAAACTGCGAACCAGCGTCTTCAGGGGGAGTGTAACCCTATCCAACACAGGATGTAACCCCATGCCCTGTTTGGCCTTTCGACTGACCAGTAGGACCTCTGTCTTGTCTGGATTCAGTTTCAGTTTGTTACTCTCATCCAGTCCGACACAGCAGCCAAATGCTGGTTCAAGGTCTGGACAGCCTCTTTGGTGACAGATGGAAAGAAGTGACAGATTTGGACGTCATCTGCATAAAGATGATACCGTATTCCAAAACTCCGTATGATCTCCCCCAGCAGCTTCATGTAGATGCATAATAATAATAATAATAATAATAATAATAATAATTTATTTGACCAGTCATATGACCATTTCAAAATAGAACACAAATAAAAAACAAGGCAAAAAGGTGAGGACAGCAGCTGACCTTCTATTTATAGTCAGAATCTTATTTTCCTGGTTCTTCTTTCAGGAAATCTGCTCTTTTCTTAATAGCTTTCAGAATAAAAAGGCTTACTCTGATTATGTTGGATCTTTTCTGACCTTGCAAGAAGGATGTCAGAATATCATTTCTGTTGGGGGACCTGAAGTTGGATACATGTTGATGCATTAGAAACTGGAGACCTTGCAAAATGACATCTCCCAGGAGGTTAAAGCGGTGTCAAGTTCTATTCATTCCTCGGTCAAGGAAGCCAGGGCCCTGACTCTACAAAACCCAATAACAACAACAACAACAACAACAACAACAACAACAACAACAGGAGGTGCATCTCCACTCCAATTAATGCAGTTTGGTGCCACTCAAGGCAACAGGGTTCTGGGAGTTATGGTTTGGTGCTCTTTAGCAGTAAAGGCTGGAGTCCTTGCAAAGCTGCAAATCCCAGAATTCCATAGCATTGAGCCACAAGTGGCGTCAAACCACATTCGTTCTGCAGTGTAGAATTCAGTCAGCAAATGCTGGAAAGCAGATGAGGAAGTGTGAACCTCATGAAAAGGGGGTGACCCCCAAATATTGCTTATGGCAACCCTTCCCTGTTTATTTTTTTTCTGGGGTGGCATCTCAACTGTAAAATTAAAGCAGTTTGATACCACTAGAACTGCCATGGCTGCATAGTATGGAATCATGCGCTAGCTTTACAAGGTCTGTAATCTTTTGGAACCTCATTGTAACCAGATAAACTCAGTATTGTGAACGAATATGGAACGACTTAATGATGCAAATGGACATGGATTTAAACCTGGAAGTCATTGGTTTTTATAGTTTTCAATTTTTATATTAATTTTATTATGTGATTTAACCTGTTTTAAACAATGTGTTTATGTGTGTTCGGCATCTAATTGTTGCCAGTCTGTGCGCCGCCCTGAGTTGCCTTTGGGTTGAAAAGGGTGGGATAAAAGTGTGGCAAATAAATAAAATAATATTTTCTACCTCACCAAGCTAAACTCCCATTGAGCCATGGCAATTAAAGTGGCACCAAACTGCACTAATTCTGCTATGTAGCTGCACACTGCGTGTGTGATTCTCCCAAGGGTTTCCATGGCCTAGTGAAGATTCAAACAGTGTCCTCCAGAGTCACATCTCAACACTCAACCGCTAGGCCACACTGACACCTCCATTTAGTTGCTTTCCAGATGGTAGGAATGGGCAATCCATGGTTCTAAATGGTTCTAAAGTACTTATAAAACTAGGTAGGGGGTGCTGGTGCTTTGCTTCTAAAGTGTTTCTAAAGTTCTGGTGGTGAAAATTTCAGAACTCTTAACAAAACTTTCCAACATTTCATTATTATTTTATTATTAGCAATTTTTATGACAGAACCAATTAGGAACTGCCATTTATAACGAAATTTTAAGCCACTCCTCATAGGGCTTGTTCTCCAGACACATTCCAGAGGCGGGCGACTAATAATAATAAAACTTTATTTATAACCCAACCCCTCTCTCTGAAGAGACTCAGGGCAATTTCCAAAATATAACAGAACTGGCAAGCATTCAATGTCAAAAACACACAGCAAACAAGATGAAACAGAAATAAACTCAATATGACTTATAAACAACCAAAATACTGTACAAATGCTGTACACAAAGCAATGGAAGGGAAAAAAGCCCAAACTCCCAGCTTGCTCCCATTCTTAGTTCCTTTGTAGAGATCGGATAGCAGAAGTCAGCAAAACCAAGAGGGCTTTGTGGTCCTTCAGATGTCAAAAATGCAGAAAATATTGGCAAGGTTGAAAAGTCCATTGAAGAATGGGAAATACGTCAATGGAAAGAAAGGTAGTCTTCTGTTTACTCAAAAGTAAGCTCTGTTGAACCTAATGAGGCCTACGCTTAATTCAATCTTTGTTTATTCATTTATTGTGTATTTACATTTCCTGTCAAGTTAGCACAACTTGCCAATAATAGGACTTGTATACAACTGTTACAAAAAAAGGGAAGCAGCATTTCAGAGACATTTGTTCTATCACTCTTTTTCAGTTTTTAATTCACACTGGTGTGATATTGTTGGTGAACTGAAGTTGCAGAAGATGAACATGAGTCTACATTGTAAATAAATAAATGATCCCTATACACATGGGACTATTAGCTGCAGTTTACCTGACCTACATCCAACAAAATATGCCCCTTTAAGGAATTTTCTCGGTTCTACAGACTATTCTATAGCATGTTTCTACTACAAATTACCATGGAATCCCTCTGGAGGACCTAGATAACCCTCTAGGAATTATCTAAGTCCTCCTGGACATTCCTATGGTAACCTATGGACAGAAGTCATTATTAATTTAAATAAAGTTTGCTTTTATACATGGTTTCCTGCTTCCATGGTTAGTTCAGGAGCATGTCTCTCCAAAGATACTAGGCTTGTACTATTTCCAATCATATAGCATGGTTTGCCTTGATATTGCTTCTTGCCTGCATTCAGTTATGGCCGGCATGGCCAACTTTGGCCTGCTGGACTTCAACTCCCACCATT